CCAATTAGTTGTTTCCATTTGCCCGTCGTGGCACAGGAGGGTCACACTCGTCACAGATTTACAAAGAAAGAGATTAACGTTGAAAATAGCACGTTAGTGGGGGAAAGGATGATTCCGTAAAACTTTTGCTTCTATGCGTGTGTATGCTGACTGGATTGCTGCATGAACTGAGTTCTTACTAATTAACAGTAAGAGGACCGAGAGCCACGGGGTTAAGCCCCGCCTGCCCGCCCGCAGGCTGCTTCAAGCATCTCCAGTCCAGAGACGTGGATTTCCCTCCGTGGCTGCTGTCACCGCAGCCTGACAAGGAGAGGGTGGCGGGAAAGGAAAACAAAACAAAAGCTCGCCAGGCGATGCCCGACTATTCGGGTGTTACAGAACCCGTTTCACGTGGGAATCGATCCCGCTGCCCAGACACCAAACTAATCATTGGTTAGTAAAGTCCAGTTCTACCTTAATGGGTTTAATATTTGATATTTCAAGAACTACTTAGTGCATGTTTAATAAAAGAGATGGCAGGCAAGTGCAGTTTCTGAGTCAGACTCTCTCAGACTCCTCCCTGCAAAGAGAGTTCTTCGACTCGGAAGGAATTCAGTCAGGAGCTCAATAGAAAGAAGGCAATCTTGTAAAGATATCTTTAAGCTTCTAGGTGAGATAAACTGGGAAAGGTATACTAGACACCTTCAAAAATACACCATTTCTTCCAAAAATACATGTGTATCTTCCTCACTTACATTTTAACATAACTTTTGCCTCTTTTCAATGTTAAATATCTGTGCGTTTTATAATTGATTTTTAGAGAGAGGGGAATGGAGAGAGAAAGAGAGAGAGATGAGATCGAAACATCGATTGGCTGCCTCCTGCATCCCCCTACTGGGGATCAAGCCTGCAACCCGGGCAGGAGCCCTGAACGGGAATCAAACCTTTCAGGATGACACTGCAAACAACTGAGCCACACCGGCCAGGGTTCTCTGTACATTTTTACATAAACTTGCAATTGAATCTAATGCCAGGCGATTTAAACCAACAATTTGATTTGTATTTTAAAATGAGCTAAAGAAAATATGAGCATTCTGAATTAGATTTATGTGGGGGTTTGTTGCTTGTTTGTAATTGCTACTTGTTAGCTGCAAACATAATAACAATTAAAGGCTCTGTGAGAGTTACAAGGAAATTGGCCACTGCGGCTATGTTGTCTAAACAGAGGACCTTACTTACGTTGGCTAATCTGTCCTGCTCCCAAGCAGGATAAGGGAATATGTATTGCCAGGCACATAAGAGAGATGTCGACAAGCAATTGTCACCAAATTCCTCGGCCTCTCCCTTGGAAACCCAGCCAACTGTCCGTTCCCTTGGGGAAGCTGCAAGATTCAAACTCACTTTGATGGATCCCTTTCCTCTTGAAATCCAAGTAGCAAAAGGAAAAGTGGTGCAAAGAGGCAGACACTGACCAGGGCGATGCCCGCAGAGTAACGCCCGACTCACCTGTTGTCTCAGGGAGAAACCCCGCCCGTCCTCACTCTCCATGGCCGCGGAGTGTGCCAGGGTGCGTGTCCGTTCCCAGCAGCCTGTCCACCTCGCCACTATTCTCGCCAGCCCAGACCTGCAGTCGTTCAATATATGGATTTGGTAACGCCTGCATGACAACGATGGGCAGGAGAGGTTAGATGGTAATTGATTCTTGATTGGAGTAAATCCATAGAAAGCACTCTGGCAGGGCCCAGAGGAAAACACTCACTCACCCTTCTGGGATGGAAAGACGACGAGAGTTCCGCCTGTTTGGGTTTGTGATCCTTCGACAGGAGGTGGGCAGAGTTCTCGCTTTAATTGACGGACACCTTTTACATCACTGGTGCAAAATGAGATTGCACTGTGGTTAGACTGCCGCCTAAAACAGCGATTCTGAGAGCCCTTCGATGCGTTAGAAGCTTTCATGTATATAAAGTGGCTCCCATTTCAGTCCTGTTCCCACGATGTCAGGCCAGCTAGTAAATATTACAAAACGATACTGTAAAATACATCCCTATTTTTAAATTTATATTCATGCTGTAATTGGAACTTTCTGCTGGATCGTGCTAACCTTTCTCTAGTTGTCCCAAATGGTGAGAGTTTACTCCAGGCTTTTTTTTTTTTTTTAATTGATTTCAGAGAGGAAGGGAGAAGGAGAGAACTAGAAACATCAAAGATGAGAGAGAATCATTGATCAGCTGCCTCCTGCACGCCCCACACTGGGGATCCAGCCCATAACCTGAGCCTATGCCCTGACCGGGAATTGAACCGTGACCTTCTGGTTCATAGGTCAACGCTCAACCACTGAGCCACGCCGGCCGGGCTAATCTATGCTTTTCTGATAGCCATGTTTCCCTTTGCTGTTTGGAGGATGTGGATCAATTTGCTCACTTACCTGTGTCTCTAGAATATTCCGCTGTTCAGTGCGCAGCGCATTGAATATGCAAAGAAATCATTTCAAAACAAAGGGGAAAGTTTCCATGCGGGCTTATTTTTAGCACCTCCCCTGTCAGCCTCAAGGGAACCTATTTCTCTCCAGCCCCGAGCTCCTCCCCTGGGGTCTGACCTGGAGACGTGGATGGTGGTGAGACAGACAGGGACCGGGGAGGGCTCCAGGCAGGAAGGTCTTCTGCAGGGTGGTCCAGGCCCTCGGCCCTGTGTCCCAGGTCACGACCCTGGAGACAGCCCCGGCTGGTCTGACAGCGCGCCCCCCCCCGCTCCCCCCCGCCGCCCGGTCAGCATCCCCACGCCATCTCCTCCGGTTCCAGATAAGATTGAAGACGAGCTGGAGATGACCATGGTTTGCCACCGGCCTGAGGGCCTGGAGCAGCTGGAGGCCCAGACGAACTTCACCAAGAGGGAGCTGCAAGTCCTCTATCGGGGCTTCAAAAACGTAAGACCCTCGGCCCCCGGAGGCCCCGCCGGCTCCCCTGGGGCCGAGCTCTCCCATGGGTGTCGCTGTGAAAGGAGGGAGGTCGGTTCTATAAAGGGCACATGGGGCCAGGCCACCTGGCGGGAAAGGAGGACTCCAGGCGGGCATGGGTTCCAGCCCAGCACAACTCGTTCACACTCTGTGGTTGGTGCCTCAGAAACAATGGGGTTTAGGGGCTGCTAGCCCAGCTGGCGGCACCGATACATAAGCCTGAAAGCCAGCGTGTTCATTCACCGCTTATTACGTGTGCTGAACCTCATGATAGTCTTGTTGGGAAGATCCTGTTAGGCCCCTTTTACAGCGAAGGACACTGAAGGTCAGAGACTGACTCAAAGTCACAAAGCTTAGAAGGGGCTGAGCCAGGAACCAAACCCAAGTCCTTCTCCTCCCAGAATCCAAACGCTTCCTCCTCCCAGCCCATTCTCTGAGGAAGTCCCGTCATTCCGCAAAGCCGCTTCGGTCCTAAGGTGGGGCTGCCCAGCCCCCCACCCCTCCCTGACCCTCCCCCAATCCCTCCCGGCCCCTTCCGATCTAGAGATCATAAGGAACCCTAGACCCCAAGGCTGGGCCCAGTCTCCTGCTCTGGGGGCGGCCCTGAGACACCCCCGCTGACTGTCCCCTTCCGGCAGGAGTGCCCGAGTGGTGTGGTCAATGAAGAAACATTCAAGCAGATCTACGCACAGTTCTTCCCTCACGGAGGTGAGTCCCACCTTGGAAAAGACCCTACCTGGCTCCCTTTTCTTTCTTTTTTTTTAATATTTTTTTATTGATTTCTGGGAGGGAGGGAGGGAGGGAGAGGGAGAGAGGGAGAGAGAGAGAGAGAGAGAAACATCAATGAGGAGAGAGAATCAT